TTCTATTCTATTCTGTTCTATTCTATTCTATTCTGTTCTGTTCTATTCTATTCTGTTCTATTCTATTCTATTCTATTCTATTATATTCTGTCCTGTTCTGTTCTACACTTTTACAGCATCTTGTGTAGTTCTAGAAAGACTGAGTGTCATCTTATCTTGTTTGAGTTGTCACAGTCCTACAGATTCAAGGACCTGGCCTTGAAGTTGCTGCATAAAAGCAGCGCTCCGCAGTGGTTGGGAAACATTGAACAGATATTTCCTGGGATGTTTCAGCTCTGTTGAACCAAGCGCCTCTGTCACTGATATGGCTTGGTTTTGGTATCTGTGTGTGTTCATGTTGGTGGGCCTCACTTTGTTAGCACTGCAGTTCAAGTTCAGGATGTCTGCACACGGTTCTAGGGAGCCGCCACACCTCCCTGCACTACCACTGATTGGCAGCCTGCTGAGCCTGCAGAGTGAATTACAACCGCATGTTCTTTTCAAAGAACTGCAGGTAAAATACGGACAAACATACTCGCTGATGATGGGCTCCCACAGTGTGATTGTCGTCAACCATCATGTGCACGCCAAAGAAGTCTTGCTCAAGAAGAGAAAGACGTTTGCAGGAAGACCTAGAACTGTGGGTATAACTCTCTCCTAAATGTCCTGTTCTGTTTGGTTGTTTTTTGGATTGGTTTCCATTCATGTCGTGTTTGTGATGAAGGTAACTACAGATATTCTGACTAAAGATGGGAAGGACATTGCATTTGGAGACTACAGTGCTACGTGGAAGTTCCACAGGAAGATAGTCCACGCAGCCCTGTGCATGTTTGGAGAAGGCTCTGCCTCTATTGAGAAGACCAGTGAGTACAGTTCACTCCTCTAGTTTGATACCACTCTCTCATGTGAGACTGCGTATGGCAGGCAGGTCAGCAGCAATAAATCACAACAGGCAGACGCACTCATTTAAACGAACACACTCGAGGACTTTTTTACTCTTCAAAGCATTTAAGCATAAATTTAGGTTAAAGAGAAATATCTAATGCAATGATCAGTCAGCAGGTGGAAAGGACCTGTTTTTACAAAGTGATTGGTCGTTCTACTCTCATTCTACTCTCATTCTACTCTCATTCTACTCTCATTCTACTCTAGTACAGTGAAAATAATAAAGAGAAACAATAACGTTTATTTATATAGAGCTCACAACAAACGTTTGGCAACAGTAGGAAACTGTGTGTGTGTGTGTGTGTGTGTGTGTGTGTGTGTGTGT